TGCAAGACAGACAAAGCTCAAATTATCACAAGAGGGCAAATGTTTAGCCAGCAACATGTCAAATCATTCCAGCCCACCTCTCACTAACGAACAAACCCCAGAAAGAAAAAAATAGCTACTTGGATACCACCTTTTGCAAACAATAAGTCAGCTTTTTGTAAATCTACATCTGGAGCTTGTTTGTTTGGGGCACGAAGGAAAAAAAAGGAAAGATTTGGAGATACATGAACAGTTTTGCTTCCTGTTACAAATGGCTACGCAGTTACTTGGTTATGAAAAAGTGCTACCCACACTCCCTGGGAGAAGGGCAAAACACAACCTGCCGAACATGTAGCACCAAATGCCTTGGGTCAATACCAAGGCAAAACTGGCTGGTGATGACGAAGACCAGCTCAGGAACGCGACGGCTGTGCCAGCCCCACTGCTGGACGGGCATGCCGAGCGGCAGCCCAGGCATGCAGGCACCTTTCCTGCTGCACCATCCATGAATCCCACGTGGAAGAACCTCTCCTGCCCACACAGAGGGGCAGATACTCAGCCCATGGTGAGGGACAGCTGGGCACAGGCGCCCCGTCCCATGGCCGGGCCATCCCTCGAGCCCGCGCTACCCCGGAGCCCTGGGGAACACCAACCCTCCCCGGCCCCTCTAGTTGCAGGCACTTCAAAACAGATGCTTTAAAATACTGACTTCAAAGCACAGTAAATTAAGCTCCACATAAAGTCCATTCAGCTTTTTGTTTAATTTGATAAAAGCTCATCAGACCATTCAAGTTACCTTCTGGTCAATACTGCCTCAAGAAATCTGCAATTCAGCTACCTGCGGTTTTTCCAATATTTCTGTAAAACGCTGCTGACAGGGTCTGTTCAGCTGCACGCATCAGGTCTTGGCTAAACACTGTTTCAGGGCTGCTCAAAGTAGCTTTTATACCATTCTGATCATTTCGCTCTCTAAATATCTCCATCTCGTGTGCTTTTCCCCCGCTCAGTCTAACCCCCAGGGAGCACTGTTGTTTTTATACAACATTTCTCCTCTGTTTTAACCTACTGACACACCATGCCCTCTTCTGTTTTGCTTTCTTTCCAACAAAAAGAAATACTGGTCTCACTAACAACGCCTTACCTCTTTCCTTGCCGGCTAGGAGGTTTAGCTTGAGGCTAGACAAAGTCCCTAATAAGCGAGATACTTCCACATCTATTGGCAAAGAACAATAAACACACTTAACACGGCCCCTTGCATCACCGAGGATCCCAGAGCACTTTGCAAACAGCAGGCTGGGTCCCTCATTCACCATCAAAACATGCTTGCCGCTAAATGTGCCAGCAACACTACATAAAAGTTAGTTAAGAGGTGAAAAAAAGAGCAACTTCTCCAAGTGAAATTACAAGGAAATTAAGGGAGGGGGTTCCCCTTGCGGGGCGCAGGAGTTGGCGGGCCGAGCGAGCCGCACACCTCCTTAACGGCCAGCGCGGGGACAGGCTCCTGCGCCCGCCTGGGGTTCGCCTTTCCTAAAGCACAATTAGGAAAAAAAAAAAGGGCAAAAAGAGCAAAAAAAATCATTTTATACAGAGCAATCATCTGAAGCTGGGCGTTATCCTGTATAAATACTGTTCTACCACAGCAAAAATGCTCAGCCTCCTCTGTTCCTGTAATCACAGCACAAATTTAATGAGATCCTTCAAGGACCTCGTTAAGGAGGCTGCTCCGCTTTGAGCATTTAAACCTGTAAAGACAGAAAAAAAGATGACACAGGACAAAGTAGAAATACTATTGATTACACATAATTGGGATAATTAATTTGTAATTAGTTCATTAAAATATATAGACATTGGAATTATGTTTGTACATTTCTGGGAATATCCTGCAAGTCATCTGGGATATGCCTATCATTTATTTGATAGATGAAACATTATTAGAAAGATAGACCATTAAAAATTAATAAGGCAGAGTAATAATTTCTCGATCTCAGCATTCAGGTTTCTAAGTACTCCAGTCCCTGTTTGACATCACCAGGAGTTTTTACTAACACCGTTTTTCAGAGCTCGGCTTGGAAACTGCAACATTTGAGACAATTGAGGCACATTTATGCCGAGCCCGAAGACGGTTTGGAGAAAACAAGACGATTAATGCTCTAAGTGGTCTTATAACGAGAACGTTCGGCATCACGGCCAACTCCATCATTAAAATTAACAGAGAAAGGTAAAAAGCCTCCTGCTTTTCACACAAACAGCACACATTAATGGAAAGCAGGGGGAAGAAAGTTGTGCAGCACCCTGTTCCCTAATTGCTTAACATTCCTTCCCTGCTGCAGAGCATCTGGCTTTGATCAGTGCCACAACAGCCCTGACCGCACCACGGCTCCAGGAGCCGGATTTCAGGGGTCCTGGAGTCCTGCAGATACCACGAGAAGGGACCGAGACGGGCTGGGGTACCCTGGTGCTGCTGTGGTGTTATCACAACTCCATGGAGGTGGGAGATAAGGTGTTGTAGCAGTGCATCACAATTATCCCTTCTGCAGGGTTACTTTAAATACTTCCAGTGGAATTTCTCAAGTTTCATTTCAACCAAATGCTACAAACACATTTGGAGCTTAGAAACCTAGAGGAATAGTCACATCCCCCCCACATTGGCTACGTGATGCCCCTGAGTCTCTGCAAGAGGCAGTGCAGGGACAGAGAGGCTCTCGGCAGGGCAACTGGAGCACCAGGAGCTGCTCTCCTGCTCCCATCACCTCTTCCCAAGACTTCTGCTGCCCCTGGCTCCTCCATCAACTCCAAAGGGAGGCTACAGACACAGGTCTCTCACCAAGGCATCTTGTTTGGACGCATGAAGCCACGCGTGGTGAACAACCCTCTTCATTTGGCTCATTTTGAGTAACCATATGAATATTCCTCTTTTATGAAAAGGGGCTATATGGCTCTAGCAGTGCATTTGCCTTTAAATTTTTTCCCCCCAAAATAAAGAATAAGTGGCTAAAAAACTTCATTTAAAAAAAAAAGGATAAAAGTGCAAAAGGAGGAAAGTAGAAAACAGAGTTAGGTGTGCGGTCCTTTAAACTGCAAATTCTCTGGAATTTTTTGCTTTTCGGTAAACCCTGCTTTAAGAATTCTGCACAATCTCCCAGTAACCGCATTCCCCACCCCAATTAAGTGGAGACAATTATTCATTATCTTTGCCCTGCCCTCAAGAATGGGATGGAGTTATTTACACACACAGCTACAGATATCTCTGTATAAAAATTAATCTGCACATGATAAAAGTGTAAGAGATCTAAGAGGCAAATCCCAAACAAAGAGCATACTTTATACATAAATTTCTTGAAATTCTAAAGATCTGAGTTTAAGTGGTTTACCACTCATTTAGAATTGATTAGAATCTATTTAAATTTAGCCGAAAGTATCACAACATTGCTCATGTATTTGCATCTGCAAATAAGTAAATAAAAAGCCCGTTATTAAAGCCTTCATTAATTCTGATTATACGAGAACTTAAAAGCAAATCTGCGTATTACTGCTCTGTAAAGACTCCTAGCAACTCCACTGTAAAGCTGGCACTGCAACACAACATGTGTCAGCAAAAATGACTAACAGGATCTATTTTCAGTAATCTTAAATCACACTGGTAAAATATAGAATTAATGGTTTTGCATAATACTCCAAGTATTTTTTTTTTATTTGAATCCATTCCCTATTCATGTCTTATTGTATCAAAAATATAATTGAATTTTATATCATTTGACATTTATGCATAACAATTGAATACATTTTATTAAACTACAATGTTCAGGCAGCACTCAGATGTGATGTGTATATTATTATGAAGACTAATCCAGCTATTTTATTTCCTTATAAATACGATTGCTAGAGGTTTTATAAAAATATTGCATTGACTAGAAGCATTAAGAACATTTAATTCCGACTTCAGATTTTGAGGTTTTCTACATATACACTTAATTGGGGCCAATATTTTGCAAAAAGATTTATTAATATCAGTAGAATTTTCCCCTGATTACACAGGCAGAGGAGCTCTCCCTTGATTTCTAAGGAGCTTAACTGTTTAAGGGTATGACCTATGCCAAAATGATTTCACATTAAAAAAGGAGGCTTTCTTCTCAGAGATTGTCTTAAGCTATGAGCGACTTCTGAAAGTCAACTCCTCTTATTTTTTTTTAAATTGCAAATTCTATCCATATCTCAAATACTGGTTTTATGGTTTAAGCTGAGAAGCATAATGGAAGGAATCATTACTTAGGATCTTTACTCTCTATTCTTATGCTATGAAAGTAAAGCAACTTATTAAAGCAAATTTGTATGTACAGAAACTGAGTCTGCAATACTAGTTCACCAGTCAGCCCTGACTTTCCACAATGTGAAATCATATGAAAAGTTTACTTCTGCAACCTCTGCTTTGGAAAATAGTCAGTTTTGATTTTAAGGCTTGATCCAAACCCTGCTGAAGACAGTCTTTCCATGACTTGAACGGGACCACATGGGTCTATACTGTATTCATAAATGAAAGGTGATTTGGGCAGTCAGAGAAGACGCACTCAATTTTTTTTTTTTTTTTTTTTTTTTTTTATAAACAGCAAACTATACTGCAAAATGTAAGAAAATACTCTTGCCGCTCTCACTGTTTAAAAGTTATTCCAAATTAAAATGAAACGAAACCCAACTCCTCCATCATTTAGCTTTAAACTCAGAATTAAGAGTTGGAGCTTTTCACTTTTTTTCCCCACTATTGCATCCAATAGTCAGACTAGGTTAGCATAAACTCTATAGTATATGTATAAAATATTTACATAGTATGATATATGTATAGAACAGCTCTATACTATATGTTATAGAGCTGGACTCAAAATAAATTACTTTTCCCTATAGAGCTACTAGCTCCAAAAGCCTAGCCGATTACTCAGTAGTCAACGACATCATTAAATATTTTGAAGTACCACGCAAAACAAAGGAACAAAAGGATTTTTCATATTTGGTGATATGCAAAAGTATACCTGATAGTCTAAAATGCTGAATCCTAGACCATTTTTGTCTTTCTCCAGTTGAATAACCTTCACATCCGGAGACCATAAGGCTAATTCCCCTTCTTCCTCCTCAGGATTAAAACTTTCATCAGGCTTCCCCTGAAAAACAAAAGTTCTAGTTAAAACACAGGGTTTTCAGTTCTTTACAAGCATTATTCATCGAATATTTTGATTGCTAGTAGTTCCTACGTGCCCTAAAATATGACTTTTTATGGAATTAAACTTCTTTGAATATTATGAGTCCAGTTGTAGATATTGGTACCTTTTCTGGCTTGCTGCTTGGATATTCCTTGGGGACTATGCCTGCCTATTTCGAACATCAGGGCCCAACCTGGCATACAAATCTGCATGTACCAGTTAAGTGTCACAATATTACTAACCTGTTACTTGGTGATGAATTTCAGCTGTCCCATTAGATGCATAAAGGAAAAATAAATTTCTTAGCATAAAAGATTTAACCAGTCACAGCTAATGAAAAGACCCAACATTAGAGATATCATCCGATACTTGTGGCCTTACATGTGGAGAAGAGTCTATATTGTAGCTACACATTTAACACCCCGTTTGAGAAAGCATTTTATTACATTTATGTCTTAGCATAAAAACTGGGAAAGGTTAGAGTACCCAATTCCCCTGGGTGAGACCAGCTTCATAAACGCATCTTCCAAAAGAGGCACTTTCGTTGTCCAACTTAAAACGTATGTTTTAGCTTTAGAATCTTTATAAAATGTGAATATAAGGAGTGACAAAAAAAGCCATAAAATCTTGTACTATTCACTTCATACCACTTAAACTCTAGTTCTTTGGACAAATATGCCTCCTGTGCAGACCACTTCTATGTGGCAAAAGTATGTTTTTTCCCCACATGCTTTTTCTTGTTACTCTTGTCAAAAGCAAGCAGAAATATCATGAGATAGCTCTAATGAGGAGGCCTTTGTTCCTTCAACCAGGATCACCTTATGTCAAATACTTGCCACAGACAAGGATGCACATGGAAAATGTTCAGTAAAAGACAACACCAAAAATGCAGAACAAACTCTATTGCAATGGAAAGACCCTTTCACAAAAAACCTGAACTGTATTCTTCCACAAAACATCCATATTTCTTCTCCAATTGTCCACCTAGAACTCTCACCTTAGAGGGTGTTGAACCAGAAAAGAAACCAAGGCATAAACATGTTTCATAAACAGGAACAACCATTACACGTGACAAGATTTAGCTGGGAACTTTACAGTTTCCACAATGCAAAGGAACATAAAGTTTCGTATTCCTCCAGTTCTGCAGAAAAACTTTATTCAGAACATGGAAGCAATCAGCTAATGGCAACAAAGATGTGATTTAGCATTAATTCAGAACATGGAAGCAATCAGCTAATGGTGCAAAGATGTGATTTAGCATTAAAGCTCTCACTCACCTATTAAATATAAGAATGATGAATGGGATGTACATAGTCAGCATGCTAGCTCAGTGATTTACCTACCTTGTATTTATAGTACAGAGAAGTTTCTAATGAAGTTTCTAGCCTGTAAAAACTGCAGGAAAAGTTGCACTGTTGCAAACACGAAGTATCTTTCACTGAAAACACCAGCAGTCCCTTAGGAGCTCACAGTGAATGGCAAAGGGAGCTTTATATGACAAATGAATATAAAACTACCTCACAAAACTCCATAAACATATTCTAGGAAGTGCTGTTTTCAGACTGAAAAGCGGTCTAGACCAAACAACAAAAGGAAAACAAAAACTATCTTTACTACCTCAGAAATATTTGCTTTTTCAAAAGGCTGGCGTCATTCTAGCACAGGGACCAGATGAAGAACCTACCTTTTGTTCGGGGGACAAAACCGCTGCGCTGGGTTCGTCAACAAGAGACTCGTTGCCGTCATCAGACAGGCGCCGGCAGCAAACGAGCGTGAACGGAGGGGGCACTTCCTTCAGAAAGGTGACGGCCTCACGGCGCGATTTCCCACGCAGCTCAACTCCATTTACCTGCACAGAACAGAAAACACCCATCCACACTGATATCTAAAAGGACGTCAGCTAGATTTGCCCATCACCTTTTTTGCTTGCTTGGTCCAACACGAGAAGTATCCGTCTTTCCCTGGCAGCAGGTGAGGGTCCAGTTCTACGCAGGGGTTCCAGCAACGCTTGCGTGGTTCCATTAACATGTGGAGGCAGAAGTCTGCATGCGTTGCCACAGCACTTAACTGCCACCTGCAAGAGCTTGTGACCACTGCTCCATCAGGTTTCTGCTCTCTTCAGTGTGCCCTCATTTTCAGCTCGCTACTTTTCCTGGTCAAAATCTTTCCTAGCATTATTTCACTCATACGCCTTTTGGTTTTGGATTTTTAGCATCAGGCTTAAGTGTTTCCTTTAAAAAAATACCAAACTGCTTAAGAAAATACAGATTTTTAAGCCCTAATCAAAAACATGAAATAAAACTTAGCATAACTCTGTCAGAGGTTTAAAATACAACAAAACGGTTGAAACAGAAAAAGATCCTACAGAAAATAAGCAAGAATGTTTATATAATAAAAACCAAACCAATTACAGTATGCAATTCATCAGAAAATCATGACAAGAGAAAGCTTACAATCTCACAAGCTTTAACTACTGAGTGACAACAGAAGACCAGCAAGCAACTGTTAATGGATTTTATAAGCTGCAGACCTTTTAAAAATGGGATATTGCAGTTGCGCTTCTTAAGGAAAATTAGAACAACAATGATTTATCCTCTTATGATTTGCAATATGAGATTACACCTGCTTGCACCATAACAGTATCTTTAAATAGGGGGAAAGCAGAACTTCTGTAGGGGCCATAGGTGTGAACATCACCTATGTGGATGAGTAGTGCGGCCCCAAAAGAGCAGAGATTTAACCCAGTTGATGCAGAGGACTCAAGCCCTTCGCCACTCACGCCTGTGGTGGCCGGAGGGCAACCACTGGTTTAGGATCTGACTCGGAGTCTCCGACTACTCCCCAGTGTGAACCAGCGCACAATAAATGGGGATAATTGGAGATTATCTTCAAAACTTCTCTCCAGGCCCAAACTAAAATGTTGATGTAGTTTGATCCTAGAAAATACAGCACCCACTTCTGTGTGCAGAACTACTTAAGGCAGAGCCTACCCATAGACTTCTCCACCTCCCTGTTCTGCAGACCGCTCAGCAATCTCACTTCATATCAATGATCTCCTTTCAGACCACCTCTTTTTTTCCCGTCTTTTCTTTGTGCTCCCTATAGCATAAATACATCCTCTACTGCTAGGAAACAGGAGTTCCTCTCACTCTATAGCCCACCTGAGGAAAAGATCCAGCATTACCACCCTCCAAGCAGCACAGTGAGCTGTCAGGGTTTTTTTTTCCCCTGCAAGAATTACAGCAACTGCTGAGCTATCAGGCTAATCCATTAGTTAATTATTTAAGGAGAAGTATCTACGCGTAAGGATTTTTTAATGCATCCAGAGTGGCAGCACGGTGGAAAGTTCCCAGCTTTGCGGGCGGTGATGGATGGAGCCGAACGCCTGGGCCCTCCCAGGCGCCGGGGACTCCCGCTCTCCTCTCCCAGCCTCCGACCGCGAAGGTGCCGATCGCCCCCGCAGCGACCGCCCCACACCAGGGAGCTGCTCTATTAGCAATTTTATAACAAAACCCAGAAGGACACGAGGAAGCAATTTACTCTTTAAAACGTAATGGTAACAGTAACAACTAAAATTAGAAAATGGGAACATGCCACACCTTCTCTCATAATGCAAACCCATTACCAAAAATAATCCATCATCGGCCTCACTCTGGATTAAAACAAATGAACAAAAGTCACTACCGATCACATTTTAATCCCCACTGTATCAGGCGCAGGTAGAGTCGCCTCTTTTAGGAATGGAGCTGTCACTTTTTCCACTGCAAACTCCTACTTAAGGGGATTTATAACTTGGCTGCAAAAACACACTCTGGGTTCAAACCTGGCATATACAGCTTTAGCCCCAGAGCACATTTTTATTTTGTTGTTTTTTTTTCTTTTTTAAGCTACAAAGTAGAAAAAAGTTTATGCTCACTAGCTTTGGACAAATCTGTGAACTTGCACAATAGTGAGTAAAACTTAAAAATACACAATTAAGCTTTCCTACATTACTCTGTAGCACTGCTTTATTGCTTTTCGTATACAAGCTTTTGTTTAGTAGCCAAAGAATTTAAACAACACTTTCAACATTCCATTAATCCCTTCCTTTAGGAATCAAGATTTCCTCCATTAAGCAATAACTGAAGAAAATGTTTTAGGTCTTAGTGATATGAGTATGAATTTTTGATGCTAAAGGGTAAACAACAAGTAAAGGCAAGAGAGTCGTAACGCTAACATAAATTAAACTTTCAGAAGGCCTGATTCTGTTCCCAATTATGTCAGTTAAATAAGTTCTTTGCATACAGTAGGAAAAGATTCATATTTACAATATTCCACCAAGAATAGGAGTTCAATACAAAGTGACTTTTTCTGGGAGTTTTGTATTTGTGTGTGTGTATACATATACGTGCACATAACTTAGATATTATTTTAATAATATTAAATGCATATCCTTCCTAAGCAATCAAATCTGGTCCGATTCTGATTACTTCAAAGCTGCCACAATACCTCTTTATACATATTTAAACAAACTGATGTACTAGCTCATACACACAAATTGTCTTTCAATGCTCAACAAGCAAGTTGCAATGCTTAACAGGAACCATTATTCCGAGACTGTTGTAAATTTTTCAGGAGTGACAAATATTAAGGAAGACTACCCACCACATAAAGCGCCAAAGCTAATGCTAAATTGCTCTGAACACTGAAGGACCACAGACACAAATACTTTCAGTGCAGATATTATCTCTGCCCTCCGGACTCTTGATGCTCATGTTAAATATTTCACAAACCAACATGAAAGTCACTTGGGGTCACAAGAACTCACCGTTTTGTTCATAAAGGAGGAATGAAAAAGTGGCAGGAGAGAACTCTAAATTCCAAAGTATTGCTTCAACCACTTCCACCAACAACTCTCTAATACTACTACTGCAGCCAAGCTAAAATTCAATACAGCATTTTTTAAGAAGGGGATGCAAACTAGAAACACAGTTCTCATTTTGGGAGCTTTTACCTCCAGCAGTTCATCCTCCAGGCGCAGAAGGCCAAGTGCTGCAGCTGGACCATCTAAAGCAATGGATGATATGTAATGGTGTCCGTTGAACGTGTCAAGCTCCACTCCTAATCTCAAGGTGTGGATTGGTAATAGCTGCCAAAAGATAAGTGTAGCAAGGAAGTTTTTATATATGCAAACAAACAGATATAATAACATATCTGTGCACACACTACACTCTAGGCACTCAATAGCTACCAGTTAAACTAAACATATAGTGAGATGATTAAGTCTTTATATTGCCATCAACTGTTTTACAGCACAAGTGTCCAGGATTTCTCTATACAAACAGATTGTGCAATTAAAAACACT